GAACGAGTAAACCTACTCCGATTAAAAAACCGAACGAACTTATTTGCCAACCCAATAGTAAAAAGGGTTCTGCTCAAATAACGTCTAAATGAATTACAGAAATGAAGGCCTTTTATATTAAAAGCAAGTTATATAAAAATAATGTTGACATATTAGTTCAAGAAACGGGAAGGCCTGACCGTGGAGCCTATACATTATCTATATTAATGCATTTATATATTCTACTGTGCTGCGTTAATATTCGTTAACCTTTTTTATCTCACTAGATATTAAACTTTTGAACACTCTCGCAAATATCGGAACATTTTATGTAAAAATGGCACTGATATATTACATATAAATTACTTAGAAAATACGAATATGATTAATGATAATAAATCGGATGTGCCATGCATAATAATTTGGCGCTATTTTATATGCCCATTACTGTAAATATTTATTTTCATAAGTTGTGAAGTACTTATGTGTTAGTACAACTATTTATTTTATTGCTGTATTTAGATGTATTCTATCTAGTCGATAACTTATGAAGACCACTTCCTCAGTCGCATTTCCCGTATCCGGGCGTGATGACCTTCCTCACATGCTTATGGTGCGTACGTAGATTAAACAGAGGCATATGGGATCTACAGTTTTAACGTCGATTCCGAACAGCATATTATTTAGAGAGGTTCTCTTGGCAAATATAATCTTGGTAGAATTGCTATGTCTTTCTAAGAGAAGACACGAGCTTAAACTTACCTTACTTAACTTTTACCGGGATCAAACCCGGACCGTTAGCATAGTAGAGGAGTGCGCTGTCTGCCATGCCACGTTCGCGCTCTTATGGGAAACAAAGACGTTTTTTCTATTACAATTTCTATTGTTACATTATATACATGAAATATGCAATTAATTAAAGTTATTTGTACAATTATGATATTATAAATAAATCTGTATATATTTCTATTAATTACAAGAAATTATGAAGAAAAAAAAAAGAAAAGAGAGAATTACCATTCGTTAAATAATGAAATAGTGAAAACTTAAGACTGATACTCATATAGCAAGCATATATGTACACTCACTTCCAAAAATAGCGGTACGGTAAAAATGTCCCTAAATTTCAAATGACAAAAATTTCGTCAATAATGAAAATAGAAAGGGTTTCCAAAAAGAAATGAAGTTTGGAATCTCTACTTTAAGAACCGATTCATGTCAATACTGCGAGATAAATTTGTTAAAAATAGCGAATGACAAAACAAGAGCAGTGTAATTAGAGAAAAATAATCCGAGTTTGCGACGGTATACGGCGTACACAAAGATTTTCCGTTCAATTTGAAAAGAAGGATATAAATGTGCAGAATTTCAACTTTTAAATGCCTTCTTATGCACCTCGGTACGAGATTCACAATCGCAAGGAAAGTTTTTTGTGAAGTTATTGGCATTTGAAGTAAAAATCTGCTTTTTTCAGATGGGAGTGTTTTGGCGAAAAAAATCATCGTATCGAGATGAATGGAAATACATTCTAAAAAGGAAATTTTGTACTTTTACATGCTTTTTATCCCATTGAGTTGCGACATTTGATTTTCGCCATGTGTTTTTACAAACTCGAAAATTATTTTTTAATTATGCATGCTGTTGCTTTATTATACGCCATTTTGGAAAAAGAACTGTTGTCCATTATTGCATTGTGAACTTTCTAAAACTAAAAATCCGAATCTTTAAAGCAGTATTTTTTAAATCCTATTTGTTGCGTTAGGTACTAAGATATTCAATTTTGAATTTTGAATCAGGCTGAATTGCAAGATTAAAAATTTCGTAGTTCTTTAGCTCCATAGTATTTTAAGATTACAAACTTTCCTTGTGCTTATGAATCTCAATCTTGCTCATGGCGTTATCCAGGATCAACGACGTGGACGTGGCAAAAATCTAATCCCGTATGCATTTGTGTGCTATGCGCGCGCGTGTGTCAGTAGAGATAAGGGTCCCGTGGTTCGTAATTTCCGTAGTACTTTCCGACTCCATACCTCGCTACTGGGTGTGTGCGTATGCGTATGCGCGCGTGTATATGTGTGTACGTATGCGTGCACGCGCGCACGCGTGCTCGCGCGCGTGTGTGTGTGTGTGAGCGAGTATATGAGGTTGCACTAGTAGTGCGCCTGACTTCTTGCTCAGATTATTTCTTTCGGACGGGGCATAATCCTTATGAGTGTCCGAATTTCATCCTGCATGATATTATTCCATTCTGTTTCAAGAACTATTCAAAATTCTTGTAGGGATTGTGGAGCAGGTATATGATTGCGTACTTTTCTGCCGAGGTTGTTCCAAAGATTTTCAATCAGATTTAAATCAGATTTAAATCTGGACTCATTACTGTCCAATGTAATAAATTTATACTAATTGCCCTGCAGAAATCCAATACTCTTCTTATAACGTGTGACTGCACAATATCTTGCATAATTATAAAACTTCCCTGATGAAGGGCGCATACGAGACAACATACGGTATCAATATCTCAATATATCCTCTGCAGATATATTCTCTATGTATATATCTGCATTCATATTGTACTCAAAAAAGCGTAAGTCTGTATAAGCATTTGCAGATATTCATGCCCAAATCATGACCGAACCTCCGTAGCATCTATATTGTTCACTTACCGTGCAATCTGTAAAGAAGTTCTTCAATATGACGGTAAATACGTTCCCGCATTTGGAGAGTACAGATAAAAACGAGACTAGTCGCTAAATAAAACGTTAGTCATATCTGAGTATGTTCAACCTCTATATTTGACTGCAAAATTGAGTTAAGCTTCGCGATGACGACGCGTAAGTGAAGGCACAGCTGCTGGCCTGTGTGCATTAAGATTGCTTTCCATCAATCTCTTTTGAACAACGTTAACGGACACGTTAATGTTGCGGACGCGTTAATATTGCGGACTCTCTTAAAGTATACCGAATTTGAACGATGTACGATGACGTTCTCTCAGAGAATTAAAAATAATAAATCGGTCGTCGATTTCGTTGGTAATGCGAGGACGACTCAAACCAGGTTTTCGCTAGAAAGAATTGGTCTTTAAATATCTAACGTGAGCACGTTGCACAGCTGACACCGATAAATCAAATACCTAAACAACGTACTTGCAACTTCTCTCATCCTCAATCAACGCTACAACTTGAGCAGCGACTTCAGAAGTAATAGATGCTATCAATATCGACCAATTTTAATACGGAAAGATTAATTTTTGTTCCCTTTGCAGAAATTATACGAATAATAAACATGACTTTGAAAAAAGAGAATCACAGATTAAGAGAAAGTACAGAAAGCAACCTGAACAAAGAATAAAAGACGTTAGTCGGAGTTAAAAAATATAATAAGAATAAATGCCTTTTTTGCTTATTCCATTGACATAAGAAGAATATACTCGGCATCGGACGGAAATCGCAAGTCAAGGAGATAGCTTTTTGCTTCAAATAATTTTAAGTGCTCAACCATCGCGTCGCGATCCACTGCCGTGTCGCGCTTCACTGCCTTGTCGCCAAACACACTCATAGAAGGTACACAAACATCTACGCACATACGCATACATACGCACTCAACCACGAGGACTGTTCAGAGTATTAAAATATCACGGAGCTGACGAATCATGGAATTCTTATTCTTGCACACCGGCTTGATTCAAAATTTTAAATTGAATATCTCGGCACCTAATGCAGCTAATAAAATTAAAAAAATTTTTTTAATTCGTATTTCTAGTTTTCAAAAATTCATAATGCGATAATGGGTAACAGTTTGTTTCCAAAATGGCGACGAATGGCGGATGATAACGCAAGAACATGCAAAATTTAAAAATAATAGTCGAGTTTGTAACAATACATAGCGAGAGTCAAATGTCGCAGTTCAATGGGATAAGAAGCATATGAAACTACAGAATTTATTTAGAATGTTTTTTCATTCATCTCGATACGATGATTTTTTCGTCGAAACACTCCCATTTAAAAAAAAGCAGATTTCTACTTCAAATGCCAATAACTTCACAGAAAATGATCGTACCGAGATGCATAGAAAAACATTTTAAAGAGGAAATTCTATATTTTCGTATCCCTTTTTTCAAATTTAGCTGAAAATTTTTATTTACGCCATGCACCGTCGCAATCTAAGACCATTTTTCTTCAATTATCCATGCTCTCGCTTTATCATATGCTTTATCATTTTTAACAAATTTATCTCGCAGAATTGACATGAATTGATGCTTAATATAGAGATTCCAAGCTACATTTTTTTTTTTTGAAAAACTTGTTTATCTTCATTATTGATGAAGTTTTCCTCATTTGAATTTCGAAAATATTTTTCCACATTTTTAGTGTACTGCTTTTTTGGGAGTGAGTGTATATTTTTTCAATTTATTTTTGAATGTAAATTTTTGAAACGTATCTCTATTATATATGGTTGAATTCGGTATAAAATAACTTTTAATTTCACTACAAAATTTTTTTTTAACATCCAAGTTATGTCCTTTATCCACTATCTGAGATCTAACTACTTGTACATCAATAAGCTGAACTTGAGCAAGATACATCCAATGATGCATTCTAGTGTTGGATTTAAATTTGATTAGTTAGGGAACATGAGATCCAAAGGAATTTTTAGTTTGAGTCTTCTGGCAAGAAGTCGCTCTCTTACTATGTCTGAAGCCAAAGTGTTGGGGTGAAATTCCAGCCGTTTCTTGTATCTGGGTGTAATGGCTTCAATTTCTTCCATTATGGTGGGAATACCCAGGTCTTTACGGAGGGATTCATATGTCGTAACAAGGCGCGTTTGTAATAATTCGAAGAACCTTAGACTGGAAACATTGGATGATATCCATATTTGATTTGGCTGCGGTATCCCACAGCAATATACCGTAAATCCAGACGGGTTTTAAGATAATCTTGTAAATGAGGAGTTTATTTTTAAGGCTCAAGCAGGATCTGCATCCAATGAGGCAATACATATTCCTGAGTGAAAGGCCAAGTTACTTTCTTTTCATGATTATGTGCGTTTTCCAATTTAACCTACAATCCAGGTGCATGTCTAGATGTTTAACCTCATTTTTTTTAGGAATTTGAACGTTATTAAGAAAAAGTGAAGGACAAGTGGTTTCCTTTCTGGTTGTAAAGGTGATATGGATGGATTTGGTCTCGTTCACTTTAATTCTCCAATTTTTGAGACAGTTTGAAAAAGAGTTTAAATATTCTTGGAGGTTCATATATGCACTCCTTGGATTTGAGTCGGCCGATATTGCCGTTGAATCGGCGAAAGTGGCGACTGTTATCCCAGGGTATATTGATATATCCGCAGCAAAAATAAGATATAGAACAGGTCCCAGTATACTGCTCTGGGAAATCCCAACTAGTACGAAGTGAAGGTCACTTTAGGCTTCTTATAGTTTTACATAGAAGTGCCGGTCTATTAAATGGCTCTTTAAAATATTGATTATGCCTGAAGGAAAGTTGATTTTCAGCTTATAGAGCAATCCTGCGTGCCACACCCTAGCGAAGGCCTGGGTGATGTGTAAATACACAGCAGAACAATATTTCCCTGTTTCTAAACAAGAATGTGTATAAGCAACGATCCTATATATCTGTTCAACCGTGGAGTGCTGTTGACGAAATCCAAATTGGTGTAGGGGAACTAGTTTTTTGTCATTGATAGTAGCCATAAGTTTGGTAAAAAATATAGTTGAAAGACCTTCGAGGGAATTGGCAAAAGACTAATGAGTCTGTAGGATCTTGGGTCATCAGATGGCTTGCCTGGCTTGTGAATCATCAAAAACTCAACTATTCCATTGTAGTGGGAAATGTTCAAGCCTAAAAACGGCATTAAATATCAAAGTGAGATATCTAACACCTTTGTTAAGAAGTTCTTTGAGAATCCTGTAGCCAGGTCATAGCTAGGGGCCTTGTTGAGCTTTAATTGTTTAATAATTTTGTAGACCTCAGATTTGGCAAAGGTATAAGAAGAGAAGTAGGTGGATGTGATTGATCTAGGTCCCTAGTGATTTCAAGTTCATCCTCCAAACTCAACTCCCTCTCGTTCGGAGTGAAGACTTTGGAAATGTGTTGTGCAAAATTCTTAACTTTCTCGAGGTTGCTTCTAGCCCACTTCCCATCTAGCTTATGTATTGGGGGAAATGGTATCTGAGGTTGTTTAAATTTCTTAGCCCTCTAATGCAAGTAGCCAAAGACAGCATTAGAGGCGAGATTATGTAAATAGTTATAGAAAGATTCGTTTTGATCATTTCGGATTAGATTCCATAGCTCCTTTGTCGCCTTGTTTAGTTTCCTCTTCATTTCGGGTAATCTAATGTCCTGCTATTGATTTCTGAGGCGGCGTTTTTCTTTAATTTTATCAAGAATGGAAGAAGAATAGCTTAAATTTATTGAGACAACGGAGGAAGATAAGGGAGTGACTTCCCAGGCCGACTGCTGAACGCTTTGTGAAAAGTGTTTAACAGCTTCAACAATATCATTGGTTATCTGAAGAATTGGTTTAGGATTTATCTTATCGATTACAAGTTTTCTAAACATTTCCCAATTTATATTCTTGTTGTGCAGTTTACACTTGCTATCCTTACTAATAAATTCATTATATAAGGAGATCATAACTGGAAAATGATCGGAATTTATGTCCAGGCAGCTTTTCGTAAAAAAGCGCCTCTTAGTAATTTCTTTTACTACTGCGAAGTCGATAAGACCTGGGATTTTCCTGGGATCGCTAGGCCAATAATTATGTTGGCTTCCCAGTAGATAGGGTATCTAAACCAAAGGTTTGGATGGAGTTTAGTAGCTCTTTACCTTTGGTTGTGGTAATTCTAGAACACCAATAGGTATGCTTGGCGTTGAAATTGCCACTAACTATATATGTGCTGCCCAGCGAGGGAAAGAAATCTTCAAATTGTGCTTTCTTAATGTTATGCTTGGGTGGACAGTAAAGGGCAGGATTCAGGATTGAGATCAGGATTTTGCCAAGGTAGTCCCTAATGACAATGCTGGTGGCTTGGAGATAATCTTTTGTATATTTATTAAACTCATAACGCCCAATAGTGTTTTTTATCCTTACGATGGTACCGCCGTGTACTTTGCCGTCCGGATGCATAGTGTAATATATAGAATATCCCTATATTTTAATATAGTTTTTATATGTGAGGTGTGTTTCAGATATAAGAAGTATATTGATATTTCGTGTTTTAAGAAAAATTTTAATTTCAGGTATCTGCTTAGGGAGCCCATAGGCGGTCCATATGCATAGTCTCAGATTGTTTATTATGATAACTTCGAAACTTAGACTGTGATGATACTGAGCATAGAGCCCATTAGGTTCTTCATTATCAGTTTTAGTTCAGTGATGTCATTGGATTGGTCCAAAAGTTAAAATATTGTTTTGAGGGTGTGGAGTATTTACATGCCGAAATTTAACTACCTGGGAATAAGATAGGTCGGGTTAAACAGTTTTATTAGAAGTCCGTGAGCGATTGTTAGTCTGCAATTTGGGTCGGAGTGGAGGGAAAATTTTCTTTTGTAGCGTTTTATAGATTCTACGCCCTCTGTAGTTAGCTGGATGGTTGCCGTTGCATAGTAAGTATTTAACGTCATTGGATCTGCCTCTTTTTTTTACAGTCTGTACTAGAATACTCTCCGGCACATTTGACACAGCAGGGTTTCCAAAAACAATAGGTTTTCGTATGCCCATACCTCTGGCAATTTAGGCATTGAGAGATTTCCGGCTTTTGGTGGGAAGTCTCAAATACAACTAAACAATTAATTAACGTTTTGATGTTATAAATACCTTTGTTGTTTGCTGCAGGTTTTAAGTTCCACATAGAACAGAGAGCAAGGCTTTCTGTAAGTCCTTCTCTTTATATTCCAAATATTATCAACCGTATGTCCATAAGAATTAATTTTGTTTCTAATATCTTCCACATTAGTAGAATGGTGGAGGTTTCTTAGTCTTCTTGTAATTTTGGTCTTTTTTAGGCTTGTACGTGTAGAATTCAGTAATTTTTATCCTTATGTGCTTTGACTATCACTGGATAAGCTTCCTGTTTAAGGTTGTATACGGACTTGCTTATCAGATAGCGTCTTAATAATATATTAATCTTTGACTATGTTATTCAATATGTCTAAGTGAGAATTTATGTTACTAACTTTGGCTACATATATGGGCGGCGGTTTGCTAACAATTTTAGAGGCGATTTCAGGACCCTCAATGTCAACTTCAAGGTAATCAAATATATTAAATGTTTGGATATTTGGGCATGCTGGGTCTAATCAGTATTCAGACTTGGCTTGTTTGCGGGATTCCTCGTCAGGGCTATTTCTAGCTCTCTTCATAGATTTCATGATTATAGAGGAGTTTTTCGATATTTTAGGTTATTTAGAATGTTTCTTGTGGGACAACATGCTGAGGATCTTGCTTTCCTACATTTTATTTTAATCTCCCATGAAATAACTCCTTTCACGTATGACAAAAGCACCTCGCAGGATTGTATTAGATTAGATTTACTGGTATCATGTTCCTTGTTCTTTTCAGGGTCGTCGATAGTTAGATCAATCTAGTTATCAAGAGTGTTTTGTGTAGTATTTTCCATTCGATTCCCACAAGCATGGTGGATCTGATTTGTCACCCCGGACAGAGCCCCCTATACCCTCGGAGGGAAAATGGTACTAAGTATTACTCCAAGGGTCACATCAGTTCCCAGGAGGGCCATTTAAGACCGCTATGTTTATACTGCCGCAGCCATTCACTTCTCAGCATGGAACTTAACACCTTAAGTTTAGAGTTGTTTTCCTGCCAGGATTTTCTCTCTTAGCTAGCAGCTTCTGTTTTTAAGGTGTCGAGAACTCGCCCTTTTGCCCTTGCATATTTTAACGTTATTCAGGGGATATGACGTGGACATGTATGCATCAGACTAGGCAGGAATAAATGGCGTTCCTCAGGTTTTATTAGTTTACAACCGTCAGCAGGATGGGTACTCCTGAGATTACATACTATCTCTTGCCCCCCCCTTCTCCAATAAAAAATAAATCTCAAATATTTAAAAGAAGTGTGAATGGTCGGGATATTTCAAATAATATAAAATTTTCGATAAATGTCCGAATGTCATCATAAATTGATGTCGAAATTATGAAACTTTCATGTAAAATATTGTTACGCCTGTGTCTTGATGCCCGCGCTTTTAGCGCCCTGAACATACAGCTGATTCTCTTGGCAACGAGTCGTAAACAACAGATGATTAGCGTTGACGGATAAACAACGGGTTAGAGAGATTCTCTCTGGGGCGGTTGAGTCGTCGTGACGTGCGCGACGGTCTTCAACGAAAGAGAGAGCTTAAGCCTGCGAGTTAAGTGTGTTTCCTTGTAAATAGTAAATATAGTTGAAGTTGTTTTCTTTTTAACGTTGTCTTGTTTTATTTTCCCGCGCGAGCGTAACAATATTTTTTGATATTTCTAATAGTTTAAATAATATTCCTTTATAAAGCTAATAGCAGGTTTTCTTCAAGGGGCTGTTTTTTTATCTTTAAAACCAATTTTGAGCGCCAACGAAAAATTGTTTAGTAACTAGGTTTGCTTGCTTTATAATTCTGCGAAGTTCCACATTTTTTTAAATTTACACGTTGCTGAATGTCTCTTAAAGGACAACATGTTGAGAATCTTGTTTTTCTACCTTTCATTTTATTTACTGATGAGGCAGGATTCATTAGAAATGGAATAACAAATTTTCAAAATGAATGTTTGGTCAGAAGATAATCCAATGGATTTTCTTCACCATTTCTGGAGTTGTCACCTCATTTGGTCGACCACTGCGATGCTCGTCTTGGCAGCTCGTACGGCCTCGTTTAAACTCTGCTACCCAATATTTACTGTTGTAAACGAAGGAGCAGACTCACCCAGAGTAGAATCCAGTTTAGCTTTTATATTGGTTAGGCTGAGGCCTTTCAAATAAAAGTATTGTATTACATAACAATGACCAATTTTCTCCATTTTTACAAATTCACTAAAAACGTTCATTATTGATGGCTGCCAAACAAATACTAAACAACGTGGCGTCTTCAAACTTAAAACGTATGCTTTATAGATTGTGTACTTTCTAATACAGTGATATTTTTCAAACAACTACCGACATTTCTAGGTCAGGTCGGGTACTTCAGGGACCACCCTCGTATAATTGACCACATTTTAATAAAATTTATATTTAAATAAATATAATTAAAAAACAACATCATCTTTTTTTACATAGTATTAATAACGTATAAAAATTACTAGTTCACGTAATAATATTTTAATTCTATTATAAATTATAAGTGATATTCTGCAGAACTCAGAATTGTATACAGATAATACAAAATTGATTTATCAGTTAAGACGAGATGGCGTAATACAAGAAGCAGTTGACTCATAATTTGAAAGTCCTTAGTTCGATCCCGGCCAGTGTTAAGAGAATGTTTTACATACAATTATAAATAGGATTTATTCACTGCCAGTGCTGCAACTCTGCATTATACGTAATTGAGAAGAAGTCGTTAATACCATCTTGAAAACAATGCAATAAAAGGGATGTAAATTAGAAATATTAATTTTTTTTAGCGAAACATTTATTATAACGAAGTGACGGCTTGGAATTTCATCAATTTGTTGTAGTAAATCATCTCTTTTTAATAGTAAATCAATATTAACACGTTGCCATCAACTTGCCGTTGTTAAAATTAGAATTCACATGAGTTCAACGCGACAGACATAATGCTATGTCACTTCACCAACGTAGTCTCTCTTGTCCCTAGTTTATAGAAAACAGTTGCTTCAACAATTAACGGCAATACAACAATAATTTCACAGACATTTGGATATCTGGTTTCTGTAACTTTTTCGAAAATAGCAGAAATTTATTAATCGGTTTCGTCAAGTAATCCCGGTAGCCACAACTAGCTTCAATCTTCCAAATTACTCATTACCTATTACTTATTGCAATTGGATTGTAAATCACTTTAGGTAAAAGGCTGAATTTCTTTTAATAAACTATGATTACTGTAAGAAAAAAATTATTTTTATATGATTTCCTTGTGATTTTTATGCTACTCAGTCACTATAATATATAAAAATATTTTACTAAACACAGTAGTATCGGTCTCCATCACCCAATTAATTTTGTGAAGTAAACTTCCGCGTGAAAACATGATTCCCTTTATTTAAATTACTAGTGCTAAACGGAACACACTTAAAAATAATAATTAATTAATTAAAAACAATATTAATTAATCAATAACAATTTATTCGAGAAAGCAACCATAAAAATTGTTGCATAAAATTAATAACTCGCGGCATAACATTTTTCCCATCGTTTTGCGCAAAAAACATCATCCTGGTTTACGGTACCTATAATATTAACACAAGAACGTTTTTATTTTCTTTCATTTTTTGTGATATTTAATAATTTCAAACAGATAAAATGTTCTCCGATTCCCTTATATACAGGGTGATCGTAAATCTTCTTCCTTCTTCTATTGTCCGTATCCGGGCGTGGTGATTTCTCTCATATGCCTTTATTGAAAAATGTGTGATGCGTACGCTGATTATACATAGTTTTTATACAGGTATATGGGATCTATAGTTTAACGCCGGTTCTGAACGGCGAATTTTTTAGAGAGGTGTTCATGGCAAAGATACTCTCGGTAGGTTGCCACTTCTTTCCGAGAAGGGACACGAGTGTAATTATTTTGGTTTCTACCGGGATCGAACCCTGGACCGTTAGTATAGTAGACCAGTGTGCTGTCTGCTATGCTACACTCGTGTTCGATTCGTAAATGTATGTCAATATTTCAAGGGGTAAATTTACATACTAAATTAAGTAAAAAACGTCGTATGAATATATGTCCCATATATCTTAGTTCTTGAGTTATGGGTGATTAAAAAAAATATTTGCGAAATACCCGCTTCGTGTGTCAACACACGATACTGCGCACTTTAGCATTGAATTCCGCACCCGTTCAAAAATATTAGGTATTCTTCGAATAGTCTCAAATTCATTTCGTATCCTTTTCAGCAAATGGTCCGCATTGTTTCCCGGTGTTGAATACACAATAGATTTTAAATAGCTTTAAA